TAAAGAGAGAGACTATTGGTTTGAATAACGTTAAAAAAATAAATTTATTTTTTTAAAAGAAAGTTTTACATACATTCTATTAGAATTGTCAAAAAGGAGCAAATAATTAGTATTCGACTAACTCGTATTCAATTCACTCATTAAATCAATATGTCGAACACGATCAAGTTATTCTTAACCTAACCAAAATCCTTTGGATACATATGAATCCATCTGCGCTTTATGATCAATTAACTTAAATTTAATAACAGGGGATGGATACTAGCGATAACATATGGATATTGCTTCGGGGTGGAGCTGGCGGTGGACAACATCATTGCCGAGTACTACTACGACAGATTCGATCTGAATCTTCACACCGCGGGGATCATCGCGGCGAGCTTCGGTCTGGCGAACGTGGTGTCGAGACCGGGAGGAGGGTGGATTTCCGACCGGCTTGCGGCGAGGTTCGGCATGAGAGGGAGGCTTTGGGGCCTCTGGATTGCTCAGACCGCCGGCGGGATTCTGTGCATTGTGTTGGGGAGGATGGGGAGGCTGAGCTTATCGGTGCTCGTCATGGTGTTCTTCTCGCTCTTCGTCCAGGCTGCCTGCGGCCTTACGTTTGGTATTGTGCCCTTCATCTCACGAAGGTAAGTTGCCCAATCAACGGACCGCCATCGTATTCACAATTTATTACTTCTCGTTTCTTTCTATTGGCATGGTATTTTTTTGTGTTACAAATTTAAATTCAATGATGGTGAAATATATTAAAAATAATAAATTGTCAATATATTTATATATAATTAATTAAATTAATTGAATAAAAAATTAATAGAATTCGATTTTTAAAAATTATTTTGTAAAATGTTGGTGAATATATTATCATTTTGAGTATATTTGGAATAGCTTTCTCTTATACTGTATTTTAGATCGCCATTATAATTTTATCTGAGGTTTTTTTTTTTAATAGCGCATGAGGAGGCTTGGCTGCAATTATTAGCTCAACTTTCAAAGAAAATCCTTAAATAATTAATTTATTTTGATCGACAATTTTATAATATTTATTTCTTTTTTTTAAAAAGTAAAAATTAATATTTTATGATTTATTTCAAATATATACTCACATGCATCATATTTTTAATAATAAATATGTATTTATTTTGTGTCGTATACATGTCATTTCATCTTTTCTCATCAGTATATTATAATTAGCAAGTGATAGAAATGCCTTTTATGTGAATAAGACAATGGAAAGTAAAAGATACCAAAACTTAATGTGTAGAATCCACTGAAGATAACTTTATAAATGATGCCTTTTTTTGACCAACACAATTACAGGATATGAAAGTTAGTTTTTATTTATTCTTTTATATAGCAAATTTACATATCCTACCCTGTAATAAGTTTTTTTTATGAGAAATTTACATGCGGAGCACATAATTCTTATGGATTTAAGTATCTCACACCTAAATTTGAGTGTTATGTATATAAATATGAAACATTATTGTTAGATATGAAAATATATAAAAACCCAGTGTTATGTAGAACTAGGAACATCTAAATAAGCAAATCTTTTTCAGAAAATGAAAATCAACATTGCTTGGCTGATAAAAATGATGCTTCGTTGTACATAATCCAGGTCACTGGGACTAGTATCAGGGATGACGGGAGGAGGAGGAAACGTTGGAGCAGTCATAACTCAAATAATATTCTTCAAAGGCTCAAAATACTCCAAGGAAACGGGAATCACTCTAATGGGCGTCATGATCGTCTGCTGCACTCTGTTGATATTGCTCATCTATTTCCCACAATGGGGCGGAATGCTCTGCGGCCCAAAGCAGGGATTTACGGAGGAGGATTACTATTCTTCGGAGTGGAATGATGAGGAGAAGGAGAAGGGCTGCCATCAGCCAAGTCTGAAGTTTGCCCAAAATAGTAGAAATGAGAGAGGGAAGAGAAACAATGCTGATCGGTCTTCTCCTAATAATTCTCATGTTTGAATTCCATTTTTTGAAGTATGCACTGAAAACCAATTTGAGATTGATAATATATCATTTAATGTCCCTGATTAACTTAATAATGAAAATGATAATGAATAAGTATAACTCAAACAAATAAGAAAAGTTTCATTTTATTGTTTTGATGATGTTTGTACGTGTAGGCGATTATGTATGATGCGAAATCTTTCATATGAAGAAAAAGTATTATTATTAATCGAACGCAGGGTCATCACACAGCTAGGCCAAAAATACATATTTGAACTCGTTCTACAAATAGGAGCAAGATATCAATTTCACTCCTAAGCAATGCAAAAAAAAATTTTCCCATTCATTTGTTCTTTTCACACTTCCCTTCCAATGATACTTGAAGATTGGGGAAGTAAATGTATGCATTTCAAGTGGTCTTGCTGGATTGGCTTGCTGAGTTGACTCGTTAAGTTGTCGAGCAAACTAGTTGCTCATTCTCAACTCACCTTATAGGCACCATAACATCTACTGGAGGAAGACAAGCAGTATGACACTATTAATAGGGTGTGACATGGTCATATGTATTGTAATGTATTTTAATTGATCTTATCAAATCTTATTTGAAAGAAAGGATTACTCTAAGATCTATAAATAGAGGGTCAAAAGTTTAAAATTAAGATGGGTGAAAAAGAGAAAGATTACTTTCTAGTCCCATTTGCTCCCCCTCTATTTTTTTTCCCTCTGTTTTTTAATGCTAGTAAGATTTGAGCTTAGTCTAAACCCTAAATTTCAAATCTAATGTACCATGGTGTACCATCAATAGAGTATGGCACCATTAATAGAGCATGGCAAGATCATATGTTCCATGGTGTACCATAGTATATTTTTATTGTAGTCACCTCAAATTATATTTTAAATTAAATAACAACCCAATATCTATGAATAGGGGGTTCAATATTTAAAATGGAGACAAGAGAGAAAAAAGGGAGATTAATCTCTCCTCCATGATTCTCCATTTATTTTTCTTCTTCTTCTCCCCAATGATATTAAGATTTGAACATAATTCACGAATAAATCTAGATTAAATAACATTTTTATCTGGATCAAACCCTTAATTATCTACATAAAATTTGCTATTGATTCATATTTAAGCAACCAATCTTTCACTTTTGAACTATGAACATTTTTATTAAGTTATAAGCCGATAAGTATTATCTTAAATACTTTTAAAATTTAGCACCTAACATTGAATAATTTTTTTTTCTGTGAACAAGCAGCAAAGATTTTTAACCCCAATAAACTAATACCTCCACTATCTGATATTTAACCCTAATATTATCTCGATGGCTACAACCAAATCATCCAACAAATCGGGAAACCCCTACAACTCCAACTCCTCATTTCCCAACATTTCCTATAAATAGCCACCACCCCACCACTCTTCTCTCCATCTTCCCGCCCCTGTTTTAAGAAAATCATGGCAGCCGCCGCCTCCTACTTCCTCATCCTTTTCCCTCTCCTCTTCTTCTACTCCACCCCCTCCTCCGCGGCCCACCCCCCACACTCCTCCAACCCCCTCTGCATCACCGCCCCCTTTCCCCTCCTCTGCGCCCGACTCCCCCTCACCCACTCCTCCCGCACCCTCGCCGAGCTCGCTCCGCTGCCATTCCCACAATCAATAAGCTCCGCTCCGGCTTCCCGGACAACAAACGGATGGCCTCCACTCTAGATCTCTGTGCTGAGGTCTACGCCGAGGCCGTCGATGCCCTAAACTCCGCCGCTAAAACCCTCCACCGCGGCGGCAATATGGACGACGTCATGACCGGGATTTCGGCAAGCCTCACTTACATTGGCACCTGCGATGATGCTTTCGACGAGGATCCGTCGCTGTTCAATCCCGTGACGCATATCAGCAAGAATTTGAATAGGTTGGTTACCAATAGCCTCAGTCTCGCGTCTGCTGCCAGGAGGAGTTATTAGGGTTTTTTGTTTTGATTTCGACTGATGGATAAGAAAGAGGGAAATTTCAGGGGTGAGGCGATCTTGATTTTTTGTTTCACAACAAATGGGTTAAAATATTCTGATAAATTGTTTTATTATAATAAGGGAGTGTTTAGAGAAAAAAATATTAACTCTGCATCAATATTCTAATGGTGGGGTGTTATGTGGCGTCACGGTGGGACCATTACATACGTGACACCCCACCATTGAAGTACTGATGCATCAGTAATCCTGAGGTAATATTTTTTCATGTTTAGGTATAATACGTAGCATTTAATAAATCCAGTTAAAATTATTATACTTGTTCGACATTTATTCCAACGTCTTGTAGATATGATTTTCTTTTAAAGTCAAATCCGTTAAATTCATGAAATAGCATTGGATTTAATAAATATGGATGTACCTCAAAAAAATAAAGAGAAGGGAGAGAAAAATAGATTTAACATAAGGTCAGGTTTAATTTCCCATCTTTTTTTTGTGTTTGATTGGATTTACATTAAATCTAGCCTAAATTCCATTAATATTACGCAACCAAACACCTAAATTTTAAATCTTTTGAGAATTTTAAGGACTTTTTGAGCCATCTAATCATGTTCAATAGTTGAGTATTAAGAATGACTTGTGGGCATGTGTGAACTAGAAACTCTGGGCATGTCTCAAATCATTTTATAGTTAATAACTTTATTGGATTAGGTTGAGGCTTCTATGATTAGTTCGTTAATCTACAGTGGTGTTTGGCTGCCATATTTAGCTTTAGATTTATCAAATCCAATAAATTTAGATTTAGCAAATTAATACTACGGCATAAGAGATTGCGTGCGGCGATAGAATAAATTTGTCTTGCAATCAGATTTATTATAAATCCGGATTTACATTGTATAAGTGATGTAATGTGAGAAGAAAATGACGGAAAGCAAGAAAATTGGATTTAACAATGCGTTATATTTAATTTTATTATTTTAATATTTAGTTGAATTTAAGTTAAATTCATGTCTAAATCTTTCTATTAATATGCTACCAAACACAACCTAAGTGTGATAATAGGATAGGGTATTCTTAGAAATCAAAGTTTAGTGACCACCCTAAATTGTTATTATCCACACTAGATTTTTATCCTTACACCTTTCTAAAAATTCTACGTATCTCTATAGTTAAAAATTCTTTGAAGCGGCCTTTGACACCACGAAAGCATTCGTTATGACACCCTTAACGTTGGCTAAGATCTAACAAGCCAAAGTTACAAAAAAGAGTAATAAGATAATCAAACCAATAACACAGAGTTCTCAATTAAAGTAAACTACCAAAGTATTTCTTTGACTTTTAACAAAAAGGTCATTTCAGTCTCAAATCTCTATAAAAATGTCAAATTAGCCTCTAGACCTTCTTAACAAAGGTTGGACTACAAGTCCTCTCTTCAAAAAAAAATTGGAGACTATTTAAGTCCACATGTAAAGACTAATTTGACATTTTATAGCTGTAAAAGTGAACTAACCCAAATAAAGAGTCAAGTGATTATTTTGGCATTTTTCTTCATCCAACTAGCAAGCAAGAAGATGATAGAATTAAAAGCTAAGGGTTTAAATTTTTGTAAACATATAAAGATCTATAAAATAGAACTAATCATCATAATCCAATAAAAAAAATTACAATTTTTTAGGTGTCCTTTACATGCATACCAACCAATTCTTATTTATTTACGCATATCGAAAGCCTAGAATTTAATTTTTTTCATTTATAATATATAAACAATTCATACCACATAAAATTTTAAATATTTTATTTGTTTAAGAGTTGAAATATATATTTGATGCATAAGTAAGATGACTTGCGCTTAAAAATGAAAGTTTAGTTGTTAGACACATAGATACATAGAATTTAAATGCAAAATTTTAAAAATAGTATTTTTTATAAATGTATTAATTTGAATTGACATTTAAAAAATATTTTTTTTAATTCAACTAAAAATTAAAAATATTTAATAGAAAATATGGTCAAATAAATGTATGTAAAGTGGATGTAGGAAAGTGCAAATAATTTCAGACTGATTATAGGAGGACAGAAGTAAATGAATCAGATTTTTCTTATAAAACCATAATATCAATAGAATTTATTTAGGAAACATAAGGACTCTTTGGAATCACTTTTAATTTTACTTTTATTTTTTATAAATGTTAATTTAAGATAAAACATATATTTTTTTTTAAAACACTCAAAATAATTTCTAAATATTTTAAGCTCTTTAGTAACAAGTTATATTATTTTCTTAAAAAAAAATAAACCATGTCAAAACTGTACTAAAAAGATATTTTTAAAATAAAAAAAAAAGATAAATAAAAACAAATGATCCCAAGCAAATTCTTAGGATTTATTTGGAATGAATTTTATTTTCTTAAACATATTATTTAGTATACTTTTAACATATCTTTAACTTTTAAAAAAAAAAATAAATTAATGTGTTTTTCAAAACACTCAAAATAATTTTTTATTGTTTTTAAAAATAATCATATCTTAATCAAATTTGTGAAATATAATTATGTCAAATAAAAAAAACCAAAATTAAAAAAATATATATAAGTTGCCACATTAGCAAGCGACTTTGTCAAATATATTTGAATGTGCCATATATTTTCAAATATATTTTCTATAAACTATGATTGACAAAAATGCCATAAAAATTGTGTTATAGGTGGCTTTGAAAGACTTTGAAAATCCAATCCGGTAGGGCCAACTGAGCCAAATAAGCAATTTCCTCTGTAGCCATTGGCAAAGGACCTTATATTATTTAAGCAGGGTGATACATATTGAGAGGGATAGATGAAAATCTTTTGATGAAACCTTAAAAGATATATTAATTCTAAATCACTAGCAAGCCAGAAGGAAGTGATTCCTTGGAGGCTCACTGAGTTACAACTATACAGAGAGAGAGAGAGAGAGAGAGAGAGCAATCTCTATAGTGGAAGGGATGAGGATCTAAAGAGAGAGAGAGAGAGAGAGAGAGAGAGAGGAAGCAATTTTCCCTATCTTTTCTTTTCCCCTTCTATACATAGAAGAGGAAATCAACAAAATAATAAAAAGTAGTACATTTTTCACAACATGATAGTTCCCTCCTATATCCTAATGAAAATGGTGTGTTGTGAATGTCATGTATTGTCAGTTGATGTCAGATATTGCTAGCGGATATCAAATATTATTGGTACAATAGTCACATCGATACTTGGGTGAAAAGATAAAATTCTAAATGTCGGGTGACACCTTTAAATAAGGAAATGACCGATGTCCTTGGAAGTCATAATGGCTTCCTTTGATAGTTGCTTTAGCGTAGGCCGGCTAGGTTTGAGAAAAAAATGAGATTGATAGAATTGGAAAACAAGTTCAGTTTAGACACTTAAGTGGGTGATCTTAGTTCAACGACTCGTTTTAATAAGAGAAAATTTCAACGAAAACTTATATATTCCCATATAAGTGTATAATATAGACAATAATCAGTAAAAAAAGTATGCAACTTAATAAAAACAAAATCTAGAAGTTTTATGCAATTTATGAGGCCAATCTTCAAGTCGACACATATCATCTTTAAGAGTTTATTCTTTCAATAAAATAGAAATTGATGCTCAAAAGTTGAAAATATAATATACTACGTTGCCCTTAAAAAATTATGGAATTTACAAGTTCAGAATTTTATATCAAGCCAATGATTGAGATTGTATAAGTTTAGGGTTCGCTAACTCTCTCATATAATAATATTTTATCAATGTTAATCGCTTGAGTTGATATCCATTTGGTTCCATTTTTCTACAAACTTTGAATGGGCCAAAAATCTATGAATGACTTTTTTTTTAGCGGTGTGAGATCACTCATGGTAGAGTGAACAAAAATATTGTCTCATTCTTTAAGTTCAAATGTTAACGTATTAAGGAAAGCATATTTGTCATTACTCGATATATTTTACTTCTTTATGGTATTATGAAAGCTTAAACAATATTTGGTAAATGAAAATATAAAATCAAGGAATGTATAAGATGACAAAGGTTCATTATATCAATAGATCATATTGATTTATTTCTACTTACTATTTTAAGAGATGAGATCTTATTTGTTTTAAAAATAGTTGTATTATATACAAATTCAAAGGTAAGCAAAACATTCTCAAGTTCTTAATTTTATTCACACAAGATATCTCAACAAAATTTGTAAGGTTTAACTAAATACAACAATCTGGCCTTAAATTTGAAAATGAATGATGAATGTAAAATTTAATTTAGGTTCTCATAAATTATTGATCATAATAATCAATAGTAGTATATATATATATATTAATACTCTTGTAATATGAGAAAAGTCATTGATTTTAGAACAATTTATGAAATGAGCAATCTTAAAAAGTTAGTTAAGTACCACAAAAGTATTAACAACCTCTCAAGCAGTGCAAGATAATATTTAGACAAAGTCCATCGAGAGATAGTCTCAATGCTCATAAGATACGACCAAAATAAAATATTAATTAGATTCTTTTGTGGATTCAATTCATTTATTTGTCAAATATTGGGCTACTATTTTTTTTTTTAGTGTCATGCTTAAATAAATGTTACCAAGATTATATTTTCATTAAAGTTTAGTTCTACTTTTATAATGTTTAGATATCTATATTGAATGCAATTTAAATATTAAGAAAAAAAAGATCTAACTTCTAAGATTATAGAATTATTTTCTCTTACGTGGATATTCATTAATTACATGAAAATGTTTCGTATAGTGTCAAATATTGTCCAAGTGCTCCATTTAAATTAGATAAAAGTTAGAATAAATTGAGTACTTATTTTGATCTCTTGGATTTTTAGTTTTGGGGAATGGATAGTCAAAGAAATTTAAATATGATGAAAGCTAGTTCATTATTAATTCTTGATTTATGTTTAAGGATTAAAATACAACATTTAAGAAACTTGACCCACTTGGCATGTTTGTGATTTGATCTGTATTATGTTAAGAAATTTAATGATATGATGATATGAGTTAAAACTAAAC